TACATCTTTTGATTCATCAATTAGTTCTAGTAGTAACTCAGATAACCCTTTTTAGACAACAATTTAATTTTGTCTTTGAGATGAATTAAACTTACCTGAGTTTCTTAATTAGATTCTCCAATGGCCATAAGTGTTTTTTCATCATCACCATCATCATCATCATCTGAGCTTTCATCCTAGTTGTCTCCCCAAGCAGAGGCCATAGCCTTGGTTGAACCTTTGTTGTTGCTTTTCTTGGGTTGAACCTGTTCCTTCGTTCAGCTCTTTCCTTCTTCTATTCAATTTCCCACAAAGGGCAGTTCTTGATGTGTGATCAGCCTTCCCACACTTGTAACAACCATCATTGGTTTACTTCTCAGGAGCTTTTGACTTGTTATAGCTTCCACTTCTTGAAGAACCCTTTCCTCTCCTCAGGAAATTCTTGAAATCCTTGGTGATCATAGCCATTTCATCATCTTCCACATCAAAACCTTCAGTGATTCTGAGTGCCAAGCACCTTTCTTTCTTAGGTACATCCATCTTCATGGTTTGTCTCCTAAGTTCCTAAGCAATGAGATTTTCAATTAATTCATCCAGTGGGAGAGTGGAAATATTCTTTGATTCCTGGATGACAGTGATTTTGCTCTCCCAAGTGATAGGCAACACCCTAGTTAGTATCTTCTCGACTCTATCTTCTTCAAGAATAATCCTTCAAAGAGATTTAGCTCATTTGCCAGTATAGTGAAGCTTCTGTACATTTCTTGAATGGCTTCTCCTTCATTCATAGCAAAGTTCTCATACTGAGAATACAGTAGAGTTCCTCTGGATCTCTTAACCTTAGGTGTTCCTTCATGATCCACTTGCAATGTGTCCCAAATTTGCTTGGCAGTTGTACAGCTTTGGCTTCTGTTGCACTCATCTGGACCAAGTCCACAAACAAGCCGTTTCTTGGATTTAGCATTTTTCTCCCATTTCTTCAAGTCCTCAGCAGTGCATCCGCTCTTGTCTTTGGCACATCTACTCCTTCAGCATTTTTCTTCAAGGTAGTCAGTGGACTATTGGTGACAATGTACCATAGCTCGTAGTCCTCTCCTATAATGTAATCTCTCATCCTGTTTTTCCACCAAGAGTAGTACTGGTCATTAAAGAGTGGTGGCCTAGCAGTGGATTGCCCTTTCCAGTTTTCAAGTGGTGCACTCATGTTGATCTTCTCCTAAGGTGTAAGCCTCTTAAAGGATAACCTGCTCTGATATCAATTGATGTTTTATACTTCAATGCCACACAAGATAGGGGTGATTTGGGTAGTGTCCAATTTTTCGCTGCACATATTATATAAGGACTTGGTTTTTCTATGTGTTCCTTATATTACTGTTGCGGAAATAGTAAATGCGAAAAGTAAAGAACACGAGTATTTTTACATGGCAACACCCGGCTCAAAAGGTGAAAAAACTACAACCTACTACTCAGTAGGATTTTTTCCAACACTTCACTAAATCACTAAGCAAAAACAGCATTTACAAAATCATTAGTAAACATAAGGATTACCTCTAATCCTGTTGTGGAAACCAACCTCTAACTGTTGTGACAACATCAAGTTAACACTAACTTGAATACAATACTCAGAGTACCTAATACAATTGCTTCTAGATAAAGCTGAAAGGTACAACTCAAAAGCCCTACTACAATTGAACTAGAATAAAAGAAAGACAATTGGAACTAGTTCTTCTATCTGGTTCATGCAACTTAAGGTTCACACACTTGAATCACACACAAGAATTGCTTGTAAAATGCCTTGCTATTTTGCTCTCAACTCACGTTTAACTTCAGCATTTGTGCTTACCTATCAAATGAGAACGTCCAGAAATATATAGAGTTAGTAGAATAGGAAATAACTAGAGTTCCAATGATATACTCTTCCTTGGTGGAAGAGATCTAGTTATCTTCAACTTCTAACTCCCCCCCTTTCTTGGATAGAGTTCTCTTCGAGTAAGGAGTCTTTCTCCTTATCACTTATGCAACATTTCCGATCAGGATATATCAGATTTACCAACTTAAGCTTATCTCCTTTACATGCATCCCTTATGCTCGAATCTGCCCGTGTCTGTGTACATTGTGTATGGACCTGGTTCATGCTTGATTTCCTTTGTCAATCATCAAAACAAACTTCACTTGGGCCAACAAACTTCATTGTTAAAATCGGCTAGTGTGATGCAACGTGGCACTATCTTGTCCTCGAGTCTCATCTGGGCGAGGACTCAGGGATGGATAAAGCTTTCTCTTCTCCCATCATCTACCATGATACGTTTAACATCAATATCTAAAATTTGTAAAGTATGACTAAAGCATCATTGTGAGGTAAAGTCAAACTATCGGCATCTGACTCCTCAAAGATGATACTTTCTTCGAGTTCGTCATATCGTCCGTGGGTGATCGATCGTTTGAGCTGGTGAGTGGCAGTGAACTTGAAACCGTCTATTGAGGAATCGTCACTACCACCAATAATCATATTGATGGTGCGAGCTGGTGAGGGCGGCTTCGGCGAGCCTTGACGTTCTCAACCCCTAGTGAATGTGCTCCTCCCATTGTCGCTCAGTAGCTCATTGAGGTGCCCTTGCTGCAACAGGTTAACTACCTCTTGCCTTAGGGTGATGCAATCTTCTGTTTTGTGTTTGTGTTCTTGGGCGAATTCGTAGAAGGCATCGGATTTCCTGGTAATCAGATCGGACGTCATCTTTGGCGGCAACTTCACTTTTGTTCCGAGTTTCTCCAGGGCGTAGACTATTTCTGTAGGCGAATCACAAAAATTGTGAGCGCATAACAAGGGGGCATACCTCTCTCGTTCCTATGAGCACCCGTCCTCGGCCTTGATGGGCCATCATCATAGTAGAATGAAGAAGGGGCGGGGGCCCTGACATACGGCTGTTGTCGTTCCCTGTTTGGCCATGTGAGTGGGTGATCCCTCCTCAAGTTATCTCTTTGTTCTTGCCTGGGCTCGGTTTGTACTGAGATGAGCCATCGAGTTGGTCCGTTGAGGTCGTCATCATCTGCTCGGACTTCGGCACAGTAGGTCTTGTGGATTTCGTCCCAAGTGGTTGGGGGTACTTTATCAACCGGCACAGCAGCTTTCTGGTTACTCTTGAAACCTCTCTGCTCAGCCCGTTCTAAATGGCTGCGACTGCCATTCCTTCGGACACATTTGGTAAGGTCATCCTCACCCTGTTGAATAGGGTGAGGAAGCCCCTCAGTCGATGTCCTAGGGATTGCTTGATGGCGAAGATGTCGTTTAATCATGTTTCGGCTTTCTTTGCCCCGACATGTGCTGTCACGAACTTATCAGCCATTTCTTCGAACGTTTTTATGGATCGGGAAGGAAGCTGTGAGTACCATGTTAATGTTGCTCCAGTGAGGGTTTCACTGAATTTCTTCAGCAAAATAGAGGACACATGTTCCTTGTTATGGTCGTTGCCCTTTACGGCGGTGACATAATGAATCACGTGGTCTTCAGGGTCAGTTATCTCGTCGTATATCTTGAGGTATGATGTCATTTTGAAGGTCTTTGGTATAGCATGTCGGGCCGCTTCCTCGCTATACGAATGCTCTACAAACCTATTGGGGTCCCTTTTTGGCAGCAGCTTCGGGGCGTCTGGTATATTGTCGACTCGTTCTTGGTATTCTTTCATTTGGTCTCTGAGCATTTTGTTCTTATTCTCCGTTTCTTCCATTCTTTTCAAAACAACGGCGAGGACGTCGTCACCTGCATGGTCAATAACATTGTGAGTTATACCTGGCATGGCGTTGGAAGGTCTGGTTGATTGCCCTGTTCGTCTTCTCGTTGTGTCGGGTGGGCTCTCGTGGTTTCTATAGTCGTACATGCAGCTTGTTTGTTGAGCACGCTTACTAAGGTATCAATTAACCATGCTTAGAGGAGCTTTTTCATGGCAGGTGGCGTCCCTTCTACTGTGGATGTGGAAGCCCTTTTTCCATTTGGTTTCGTTATGCTGCAATAAGGGGGTAGCGACCTCTCGTGCCCGGGGAAGGCAGTTTCATAGCTCTCGTTTTTAGCGTTCATAAGGTTAATGGGGACGTCAGCTGTCGCCCTCGTTTCGTTTCCTTGATTACCTACCATGGAAATTTATGTACGAGCAAAAAAGGAGAAAAGCTTTGTGGCTCGTTAGGTTAGCGAGTCACGTGGGTTGTAGATCTAATGGAAACTAAAAGATTAGCTAAGAAAATCCCCACAGACGGCGCCAAACTATTTGACCCAAAATTTTGATCTAGGTTTAACTAATTATATTTTCTAGTAAAATAGAGTTAATCTTAGCTAATGTTAAATCCAAAAGATGTGTCAACCAATTTTTTTGTGGCAAGATAATACAGGTATGATCTAAGTAGCAATAAATGATGATAACACTATAGTATTCAATAATCCGAAAAAGGAAGGAGATAGCATTTAATAATAAATAGCAAAGAATGTCATTTAAGTAAATAAAGGCATGTGAGTCACCCGAAAAGGGTGAGGTTCTTTAGTATTCTTATGACAATGATGAATGATTGATGAGCCTTTGAATATTCGGACTCTCCTTAGATCGTGAGATAAAAGTTAGAATAGAATCTCAAGAAAAAGGTATATTTTGTATGTATATAATAAAGCAAGGATCGCAGTGAATGTCAATATGTTCTCTTATGAGTGAGTGTTTCATGTCCCCTATAACTATGTCTCTTTCTATTTATAAGGGAACATGTGCCCAAAAATTCTAATAGTACAGATCCAAAAAATATCCACTGAAATATTTCCTTTAAAGTTTTGTACTAAAACTAGCCGTTATTATTCTGTTTAAGACAAGTGGTCGTCCTCGACCTTGATCTATGTTGACTCCTCGACCCCGCCCTTTATCTCTTGTGAGATCACTACGACCTTGAACATGCCTTTTGTCGAAGTCATTTTGTGACACGTGGCAGCCCTTGAGGGCTCTCTTAGTGATGATATGGTCTGAACTTAAACTAAGACAATTTTTGGCCCATACAACCACATTTTCATTAGTCTGTCTGTTGTAAAAGTGAAAGAACTACAAACAGGAAATTTGCTCAATCACTTAAGAGAAACCTGATTTCATGGCTTACAAACACATTAAATACAGCCTTTAGGAAGTAAAGCAAATTAGAAACCGTCGTAATCTCTTAAGATTACTGTGGCTTGCCTAATTAATTAGCTGGATATTGCATAGTGGGTAATATGAATAATATCTTCAGGCCTTGATGGTGGATGACTTTTGTTTCTCATTCTCAAAGCTTGGTAATCTTTGTAGTAAAATCCTTTGTATTTTGGTGGCTCTCCAATCTCTTCAGTGAATTGTGGCAATGGTTCAATCCACTTGTCTCCTTGGATATTATAGAAGAAAGCAAAGGAATGTCGGCTTCTGCCAGTTTTTCTCACAGCTCTATGAGTTGCACTCTTAAATTTGTTGTTGCTCAGAACCTCGAATAAGTATTTAAGTTTATACACAAAAGATCAGTCAGACTAGTTAACAATTTATACTATCTAGAAAATGTAACGTATAAAAATGGAAGTTTAGTTGGTCCAAGTTTTAAACGTTACCTGAATAACATCACTAACATTGACTATAATTCTGCCTGCAGCTGGAATTACCGGAATCCATTCTCCATTTTTTCGAACTTGTAGTCCACCAACTTCATCCTGGATGACGAATGTGATACAATTTCCATCTTCATGTTCACTTATGCCATTGTTTTCAGTATTAGTTGCTGGATAGTAATTCAAAGCTACCATGAAATCCCAGCTTCTGTCATGATTATATTCCTTGAGGAAATTTAGAGGGAGGCCAAGACAGTCATTCAAGATGCTCTCCAAAAGTTCACCAACTTTCCCGAAATGGGTAAACATCTCTTCTAGTACTTCCCTAAAAGTTCACCATGAAAATAGACATTACCCCGCCAAATCAAACACGAGTTAATTTTATCGAAGGTCATTGAATTTTTGTGTTTGTTACCCAAAAGTCATTTTTTTTTGTTACGTAAAAATCATTTAACTTTGTGTTTATTACTCAAAAGTTCCTCTGTTCAAATTTATTTCAAGCAGTTTGGCTCGGAACACAAAAAAATTAAGAAAATAGAACTTATGATTTTAAAGAGTCCGGAACTAAAGTAATACGAAAATCCAGAAAAACCATCATATTAATATGGAAAAAAAAAGAAAACAATAGTACATATAGCACATGCATACCAACTAAAATACCTAAAACGGTTATTCTTCGAATTTGGTCATAGATTTGGGGTTCATGAATTTGAAGAACTCCGATTGACATGAAATTTAGTATGTCAATCGAAAACGACTTGGAGAAAGACAATCACTGCTATGCAGTGAATCACATTATTTTTGGGCATTTTGAGTTCGTCTAGATGGGTGTTTAAATAGTTTATCGAATTAAATGAGTTTTAAATATGAAAAAAATATTTTTATGTCAGTTTTATTTGTGTTAAATCTAGAACATGATTACACAAGATGAGTCAACTTCATATGATATATGGAAAGAATGTAAATCATATTGATTTAGTCTTAAATTTGCCTAAAATGATTTATTCGAATTTGATCTAGTTTTGGTGATCATGAATTTCAACATCTCTAATTAACCTAAAATGTGATGGGTTAATTCGAAAACGATCGGGTAAGAAATACTCAAAGCTACGCAGTAAATTATGTCGTTATTGATATTGCTTATTGATACTGCTTTTTCAGGTATATTTTCCGACTCTTGGCTCGCTGGTACTATTTTTCTGATTATGTTGTTGTTACTATTCTATTACCGCATTTCATCTTCTTTTGCCGAGGGTCTATTCGGAAACAGCCTCTCTACCCCCAAGGTAGGGATATGGTCTGCGTATACACTACCTCCCCAAACCCCCACTTATGGGACTATACTGGATTGTTGTTGTTCGAGGTTGTTTATATGGGTTTTTTTTTTGGCAATTTGCAGGATTAAAACGTGATTTGAATATGAAAAGTCATTCTTTATGTCAGATTTATTTGTATCAAGTCTAAAATATAATAACACATATCGATTTAACATAAATTGATATATGATAAGAATGTAAGTCATATTTTTAAATTTCTAAAAACTGCTTAAAATCATGACTTTTCGAATTTGGTCGCAGTTTTGGAGATCATGACTTTTAAAATTTTCGATTGACCTGAAATTTGGTAGGCACATCGAAAATCACGCAATGAGCTATACACACTGTTATGCAGTGTGTAATGCATTTTGTAGCATTTCGGCGCTGTTTGGATGGAGTTTTGGGAATTTTTTCAAATTTTGAAACTTAATTCTCAAGGAAAATACATGGTTGTGGTTATGTGGTGATAGGAATTAACCCCTACGGCCTCCACTATTTATTATAATGAGATAATAAATTTACATGTCGACTTTAGGTCTTCTTCTATATCGACAAATTTATTATAAATTTACTAAGTATAATTACTAGTTATTGATAATAAGCATTGACTCTCCATCTAAGTTTACACGTTTAACCAATTTTATAGTTATAATGCAATCATGATTAAGTGGTGTTAGGATTATGTTTCTATGATCTCCCACATAATTTCAAGTGTGTAATAAATTCACGCATCGACTTTAGGTCTTCCTCCATATCAAATAAAATTATTGTAAGCTCAGTAGATGAAATACTAGTAATTGATATCATGTATTTACTCTCCATCTAAGTATACATGTTGGATAAATGAAACTAGAGCTTTTAATTATGATGTTCACTTGCCTTAAATTAACAGTACACTCTCTGTCTAAATTAAGTCTGCTTTAATTTATTGGAGTGAATAATCTGGCATTACGTATATATATTGCATGAGAAGTTCTTTTCCTATCGGAATTTTCTATTCAATCTATATATAT